AACTGCAAGCAGCACTATGCTATAGAGGACGCAGCCACCGCAGGGCAGTCATTAAGTAAAACTGCCGTGCGCCTTGTTTGCCGGTGCGTGTTTATTTCTGGCTATACATGAAAACGCCAATCTATTACCGTGTATCGAAATCGCGCGCCGGCAGAGCCCGTCATTCCCGTTTCGATCTCGTTCGGGCTGACTATGATAACTATTTAATACATATGCATAGGCTATTGGCGCGTTCGGCCAATGATTAAATAGACACGCTAGCGAGGCGGGCCGGAGATAGATGTTAGTGTTCGTCGCGTTACGGTTGTGGAGATAGATATCGCTTACTGCGTGTCGCATGTGAAATGGCCAATTCGTCTTTAATTTTGGAAGGACGCAGCATTGCAGTCTGAATTACCAACATGGTAACCGGCCGGTGTTCAACGGCGTATCTCGAACGGCGTCGAAAGTTTGATTTACTGACTGAGGCGACTCTCTGCCTTCTGCGTCTTCTCTACGCCTGCACTGCTCTCTGCTCTCTCTCTTTCTCTCTTTCTATCTATCTATCTATCCATTTAGTCTATCTTAATCTATCTATCTATGCTATCCTATCTATCGTATCTATCTATCTATCTATCTATGCATGCTAATCTTCTATCTATCTATCTATCTATCTATCTATCTAATCTATCTGATCTATGCTATCTATCTATGCTATCTATGCTATCTATCTATCTATCTATCTATCTATCTATCTATCTAATCTATCTATTTATCTCATATATCATATCTGTCTGAGTCTGTCTGTCTGTCTGTCTGTCCCTGTGCTGTCTGTTGTCTGTCTGTCTGTCTATCTGTCTGTCTGTCTATCTATGCTAGTATCTATCTAGACTCTATGGCTATCTATCTATGCTATCTGATCTATCTATTTGCTAGTCTATCTATCTATCTATCTATCTTATCTATCTATCTATAATATCTATGCTAATTCCTATCTATCTAGTGCTATCGTATCTATCGTAGTCCTATCTATCTATCTATCTATCTTATGCTAATGCTATCTATCTATCTATCTCTCTAAGCCGTCCTCTCTAGGCTATGCTATCTTCTCTAGCTTGTCTCTCTAGGCTGTCTCTCTCTAGTTCTTTCTCGCGCGCTCTCTCTCATTTTCTTATTTTCTTTCTTACTCTTTCTCACTTTCCTCATCTTCGCTCTTTCCCTTATTCCTTATCACTCCCATTATCTCGCAGTTTCACACTTTCCTACACTCGTACGCTTCCCTCCTCGCTCTCTTTCCTATAACTGCTCTCTCATGTGCGCTTGCTCTCTTTCTTTCCCACTCGCTCTTTCCCACTATCCTCCTTTCGATTCTCTCTTTCTTTCTTTCTCTCTATGAATCCCTCTTTAGTTTTGCTCCCCTTCTCTCTCGCAAATACTTTTACATCCTTTCCTTCTCTATAACTCTATAATGCGTATTTATTATCCACTTACAGCTATTCGCGAGTGTCTCCATATGACGGTTTACGACGGCCGCTCTTAAAGAAGATAGTGGCAACTTTAAATTTTCACGATGTAGGCCTACGTGTTTGCGTAGACACAAATCGTCCGCTCTCAATCCTGAATCGCGCTCTCTCTACGCTCTGAAATCGTATTAGCAGGGTTTTACACGTCCTCGCACGGACCATTTTTTTCGTTGTGATCCAAACTCCGGTCGTTTACGTCTCTCTCTCTCTCTCTTGCTGCTCTTCTCTCTCTCTCTCTTTCTCTCTCTCTCTCTTCTCTCTCTCGCTCTCTTCTCTCGCCTGTTTTCTTCTCTCTGCCTCTCTCTCTACTCTCTTCTCATTTCTCTCCTCTCTTTCCTCCCTCTCGTCCTGTCCTCCTTTCTGCTCCCCTGGTTTCTGCTCCTTCCTCCTCTCACTCTCATCTCTCTCGTGCTTCTCCCTGTCGCTCTCAATCATCTCATCTTCTCGCCCCGTCTCTCTTCCTTTCTCTCTCGGCTCTCCTCCCTCCTTCTCCCTCTCACTCTCTTCCCTCTCTCCCTCTCTCCCTCTTCTTACTATAATATATCGCGATTCTTGTGATTCACATGCTTTTCTGCTGTCTCTCTTTCTACCCCTTCGCTCTTTCATTCCACCTTGTTATCTCTGTGGTTTATAGTTCAAGTGGAATCTATAATATATATACGCCACGCGGGGTACCCATATCAGGTTTACGACGCAATTTGTTGAGAAAAAAAATTGAAAAAACAACTTCCGCGATTGCAACAGTTGCCGATCACGCGTCGAAATAGACAGAAATTTGCGGCGTGAGAGATTGTAAATCGAAGAAGAGCGCACACACTAGCGCGAGAATTAACACACAATATAAAGGACAACTAGCCGTAAAATGTGCATCCGAGAGCATATAATCGATACATAAATTAAATGCCGTCACTCCGCAACAAACAAGTCTCAGTTGCCGTTACGTATTTTACATAATATATTATGTACTTATGGTCGAATGCTGCAGCTTTCCTAATTACGGGTAATGAGATGAGCGGACAATACTCGAATCACGCTCTGTTAAAATCCATATTTAGACATTGAGGCGTTTGCAGACATTTATATCGCGTACCCGATTTTACTGTCTTACTCGTTAGTGCATGTGTTAAGTTATGATGACGAGGAACTCGAAACATGGTCTCTGTTGTATCTCGATATATATATATCAAGTATATAGTAATATATGTGTGATGTTATGTGTGGTGTTGTGTGTGTTGGTGTGTGTGTGTGTGTGTTCGTGTATGTGTTGTGTGTGTGTGTGCGGTGTGTGTGTGTGTGTGTAGTGCGGTGCGTGCGTGAGTGCGTGCAGTGCGCACGGGGTCGGCGCGCGCGCGTGTGTGTGTGTGATGTGGTGGGTGTGTGTGTGTGTGTGTGTGTGTGTTTTGTTTTGTGTGTGTGTGTGTGTGTGTGTGTTTTGTTTTGTGTGTGTGTGTGTGTGTGTGTGTGTGTGCGCGCGCGCGCGCGCGACGCGTATGTGCAAGATATGTCTTTACATATCTGAGTAACATATATAAGTGTATGCGTGTACATGAAGCCTGCGTATATTTTATACAGACGCCGGTGTGGCGACACGACAAAATGACAACCGCGGCGATGCTCATTGAAACGTACGTGAGACCAACCAGCACTGTCTCCTTTCTTAATTCAATCAGTGCCAACCGCCATTAAGTAACTAACTTGCATGTGATGTGGAGCACGTTTGGCAACGATAACAATTACACGTGCGCAAATCCTATTGTCGTGCTTATTAAATAATGTCGCATAAAGTAAGTGCATAATAATCAAAATGTGCAGAAATGCCGGTTCAGAAGCATTTTCATGTTTTCGCGTTCTATTGAATGCTTCGAGAATTGCGGCTTTTAAGTGAAATGAAGTGACTTGTATGAAACAGACCGAGGGCCAGCGGGGCAAGCACGGTTTTAAATATAGACAGCGTGTACGTACAACACAATGTAATAAATACGTCGAATAAATACGTCAGCACTGACTGATACTGGTAAACACCAGCGCGCAAACGCATTGACACACGCACGCACGCACACATGCACGCACGCATGCATGCATGCGCACACACACGAATGCGCAGACCCGGAGAAAAAGAGAGAGCGAGAGAGAGAGAGCTAAAGAGAAAGAGAGAGAGAGAGAGAGAGAGAGAGAGAAGGCTAGAGCGAAAGAGAGTGAGAGAGAGAGAGAGAAAGAGAGAGAGAGAAAGGGAGAGAGAAGGTTGGAGGAAGGGATAAGCGAATAGATGATGGGGTAAGGAGAGCGATAACGGCACAAGGGGCAGGGACATGGTGAATAAGTGTGAGAACCACATAAGTAATCGGTCGGACGTGCCAAGTCGCCGCTAGTCTGGATTATATATATATATATATATATACATACATACATACATACAGCCGTATAATAATAACTCGCGCACTGCGACATGTGTCAAATCCCAGGTTTTACATTTGATGATTTTGATGGAGCCTGCGGCGCGGATCTCCCTTCCCCGTCGCCGTCGACGACAAATTATAAGTCCCGTGAGAAACCAACGCGCTGACTCGAGTGCATGCAAGCGTCTGCTAACCATCTTCGCCCTCCACCCCACCCCCACCCCCACCACCCAGAAATCGACGTGACCTTGAATACTGATGAGCGACGCGCTCATCAGTCGGCCGATTGCATTTCGGGCGAGCAGTGATTCGACGAGACGCGAAGTCGGCAGGGGCCGCCGCGCGTGTTCAATGTAATTTTCCGCATGCCATACTCGACGCCCTTACACATTATCAAGTGACGCTTCGGGGGTGCGGTCGGGGTTGGGTGCGTGGTGGTGGGGAGGTGGGGGGAGGGGGTTTGGGTGGGGAGTGGGGCGAGGGTGCTGATGAGCGGGGATGCGAACGGGAGCCGATGAAAGTGATGCTTCGGGGGAGGTGGAGGAGGTCGGGGTTGGTGGGGGGTGGAGAAGTGGGGGTGGGGGAGATAGGGGTGGGGAGTGGAGGGAGGCAGGGGTTGGGT